AAAAAAAAAAAAAAAAAAAAACACCCAAAACTAAAACGTCTTGATTCAAAGCGGTGTTGTGTAGACTCTTCGGTTGTCATCCTTGAAGTGGCTGAGCGAGGACCGCAACAGACTCGGCTATGGGAGAGGTATGTGGCGTGGCCATCCTTGCTATCCTTCTATCCCAGCCAGCGGCAGGCTCATCTTGCCTCGTGCGGGAGGTAGGAAAGGGCCACAGGTGGGCCTTAAAACAGAAGCCAGGGCCGGGCGGTGGTGGCGCACGCCTTTAATCCCAGCACTCGGGAGGCAGAGGCAGGCGGATCTCTGTGAGTTCGAGACCAGCCTGGTCTACAAGAGCTAGTTCCAGGACAGGCTCCAAAACCATAGAGAAACCCTGTCTCGAAAAACAAACAAACAAACAACAAAAAAAAAAACAGAAGCCAGGGATTTGGGGGTCCCAGCATAGGCAAGGGTTTTGTGGGACATCCAGAGAGCCGTGAGGACGTAGATTTGCAAGAAGACTGTTTGGAACCCGTGACTTGGAGGCGGGTTCTAGGAACCAGAATCAGTGAGGTCTCCCAGATGGGGCTGGGAGTGTGGGCTCCCAGTGTGGGAGTGGGGCTGTGTGCCTGATAAACTAACCAAAGCCAGACAAACCATCTGTGGCCAATCTGGCACTTAGTAGGCGTTCAGTAAATATTTGCTACATTGAAATGGATGGTAAGCCTACATGCGTCTTATTTTGTATTATTTGGGTTTTGTTTTGTCTTATTTGTTTGTTTCTCTTATGTTTTCAATATACTGACAAAGGATCGTTTCATATTTTAACAGCTGATGTTCGGTGAAGATAAATTGGAGTGGAGGGGACTTGATCTACAACTAGAATAGGGTGGCCCGCCTGGGTGCTAAGACCACACTTTCATCTCTAGACTTGTGGTAATTACTTTAATTACTTTCTGGTAATTTCCACCCGTCTTCCTTCTCTCTGCTCGTGTTCACTTAACACAGTCTCCTGCATTCAGAAACCAGCTTGTGAATGGCTCCCGTCTTCCTTCTACACGGTTTACATATGATATCTAACTCCCTGTTGGCATCTCCTTTTTTTCCCTTAGGGCCTGGTGCATGCTGGGAAAGCGCCCTATCACGGAACTAGATGCCTAGTCCACGTATGGCTCCTCTCGTTTGTTCCTTAGATCCCCGCATCCCAGTACGTCCTGTTCCTCTTTCCCGCCTGGATTCCACATACATGTCCACATACGTGTGCCACCCTAGTATCGCCGGTGCTACACATGACTCCAGGGTGTCTTGTTGATGCTGCCTCACACATGGCTCTGGGGGTCAATCTCATGTGTTCGTTTTTTTCATTAATTTCCTTTTTTTTTAGTTAGTGACCTAGTAATTGTTGTTAGTGCACTGTTAAAGAAAAAACTGACCCAAACCAGTTTTCATTTTACAAGTTACCGTGCTTGCTTGAGGGAACTCAGGGCAGGACTTCAAAGCCGGAATCTGGAGGCAGGAACCGCGGCAGAGACCACAGAGAACCGCTGCTTACCGGCTTGGTCTCTGTGGCTTGCTCTGCTTGCTTTCTAACACAACCCTGCTCAGGGTGGAACCGCCTACAACGTCCCACAATCATCATTAAAAAATGTACTGTAGACAAGATCACAGGCCAGTCTGATGGAGGCAATTCACTCTTTCCGGGTGATTCTAGCTTGTGTCCAGTTGACAGAAACTCACCAGCAGTTAGCATGCATGGCAAAGGGTTCATGTAATATTATAGTTTGTTCTGTGTCTCTTGGCCACTCTCCTTCACTATTGCTGGTCCTCTTTGTCACCCCAAGTTGTCCCTGCTTCTGCTTTCATGCCCCATATGTTACATTACTGTCACATATGTCCCCTTTCCTTTCTCCCCTAAGACCTCTTCTTAGCTACATATTCATGTGTAGATATATGCACAACTATACAGTCTAAATATAAACTCCACACATGAGAAAGCACGTAGTATTTGTCTCAGTCTGATGTATTCTGCTCAACACAACGATCTTCAGTTCCATCCATTTCCCTGCAAATGTTGGGATTTCCTTTGTCTTTGCGGCTGGCTGAAACCCCCTCACGTATTGTATCTCATTGTGTTTGTTCATCATCTGCTGATGGACACCAAGGCTGGTTCCATAGCTTAGGCCTGGCTGGTTTCCTGATTTACAAACATGTGCCTATCTGTTCTGTTGCTGCCGATGGATACAAAGAGTCCCAACAGTGCTGGTGTCTCCTGAAGAGAACCACTGAATTTAGAATTCATTTTGTTTTCCAGCCCTGTGTCCACAGGAACTTGCTGTGGGACAATGGTCTTGTAGCCTGTAAGGATTTGTCACATGTATTGGTTTAATAAAATGCTGATTGGCCAGTACCCAGGCAGGAAGTATAGGTGGGGCGACCAGCCAGAAAGTATAGGCAGGGCAACCAGAATAGGAGAATTCTGGGAAGAGGAAAGGCTCAGTCTTCAGTCATCACCCAGACACAGAGGAAGCAAGATGAGAATGCCTCAGTGATAAAGGTACCAAGCCACGTGGCTAACACAGACAAGAATTATGGGTTAATGTAAGATATAACAGTTAATAAGAAACCTGAGCTAATAGGCCAATCAGTTTATAATTAATGCAAGCCTCTGTGTGTTTCTTTTGGGACTGAACGCCTGCAGGGCCAGGTGGGACAGAAACCTCTGTCAACAGGAAGTATTACACTTATTTGGCTTCACAGGGTCCTTGGATTTTTTGTTGTCTCTTCTTCTGCAGAGCCCTAACTCTCAGGATAACCCAGGCAGCGAGCTAGGGTATGTTCCTTTTCATCACCAGAAATTCCAAATGCCCGGTACTCTGGGGCTACCGTCTGCTTCTCTTTGAACGTCAGTAGGCTTCCAGGAGGCTATACTTTGAAATCCGCCGGGAAGTTTAAAGGGTAACTGGTGATGGACACCTCTTGGACCAATTGTGCTCTCTGGAGGTGGGGCCCTGGTGTGAGTAATTTGTCAAGGCTCCCCAGGTGATTTTAAGGTTTAGCCAAGGTTGAGAATAGCCTGTCTGAAGCATCTGTTTCTACACTCCGTCCACCTGAGAGGCTCAGCACTGCGTCCACTCTCCAGATTTCTCCTTGCAAGTCCTCCAGCAGTAGCTTGACCCCGTCTGCTGTCTTTCACCCAGGAATTTATCTGTCTACTCTGTAGCTAGGACTGGGAAATAAATGTAATTATGCACCTATGTGGGTATTGGATATGTTTTTGCCACTGCCCCAAATCTCTTATTCTTGATTTCCTTCTAGGTGTCTGCTTTCGTCTCAGTCTCAAGACAGTGGCTGTCTTGAGACGCTGCTTCCTTATCTTACCCCACCTTGCACGTTAAACAACCCATTTCCCTTAACCACAGTGATGGGTTGGGGGATGGATGGGTCTGTCCCCAAGGCAGGCCTGTCAATCACAGTGAGACCTAATACATTTTGGCTTGACCTGTATTTCTTGCTAGACTCGAACATAGGAATGGGACTCTCTGAGCATGGGGCCCAAAGAGAGAAAAACTAACCTAGTCCAGGGGAGGGACCCTGTTCTTGAAGACCACAGTCTAGCGGAGGAGATTCAGAAGGCGAAAGGAACGGAAGGAATAGGACAGGTAACAGTCTATAGGCAGCCCAGGTGTCGGGGCAGCACGACCTGGGTGTCCCTGTGCCCCTGTAGGCAAGTTCAGCTGGCTGGGTAGTTACAATCATTTCTATTTTTGCCTCAGAGGGTTGGATTCTGTTGGGAGTCAGCCAGTGAGGTCCAGCCTCTCAAGGTTGTGGGCTGCAGAGGACGGGCCCCTCCCCCAGCAGCAGCAACTTCCCAGCCCTCTTGAACTTCAAGCTCATTGGCACCCCTTCTCTCCTTTCCTTGTCTTGACTGAAGCTGTGTCTTACAGAGCTTTCTAACAAGTTTCTCTTGCCTCTGGTCTCTGCCCTTCTAGATCATTCTTTCTGCGGATGCTAAGAAGATCGAAGACACACACCTGAGTGTGCTGTCTCCCTACACCAACGCTTATGCTGGGTGTCCCCTGCAGCAGACAGAAACAAGTTCAAACCTCTCACGTGACTCCCTGGCACGTCACACCATCCATCACTGAGCCAGCCGCCTGGGCGTTTCTGTCACCAAAGTATGTTTGTGTTATTCCCAGTAATGCCCTTGTATCTCTCTGCTGGGTGTTGGCTTTCCCTCGCAAATTTCCTTTAACGCCATATATGCCTTTTCTGAGGCCTCATTTTGGCAGAGGAGTATCTCATGAAATTTATTAGTTCTCTTTTGCTGGCTAAGTCGTCTGAGGTCCTAGGCCTGCTCAGAATAGGTGCTCAGTAAAGATTCAATCAGTGGGTAAACCCTATCAACAACCTTGGGGATTTCTGGGGTGGGTGGATTTCGGAAAGATGCAGGCCAGCCAGTAGAACACAGAAGATTGTTTATAGCTCACTTTTCTTTTTCTAAAATTAACTACTTTATTATTTTAAAACAATCTTTTCATTTTACATACCAATCCCAGTTCCCACTCCCTCCCCTCTTTCCACTCCTTCAACCTTCTCCCCACCCCACAACCCATCATCTCCTCAGAGAGGATAAGGCGTCCCATGGAAGGTCAACCAAGTCTAGTATATCACTTTGAGGCAGGATCAAGGCCCTCCCCCACTATTTCTAGGCTGAGCAAGGTATCACTCCAAAGAGAACAGGTTCCAAAAAGCCAGTTCAAGCCCTAGGGATAAATCCTGGTCCCACTGTCAGTGGCACCACAGTCTGCCCCAGCCATACAACTGTCAGCCACATTCAGAGGGACTAGTTTGGTCCTATGTGGGTTGCCCTGCTGTTAGCCCGGAGTCAGTGAGCTTCCACTAGCTCAGGTCAAACAGCTCACTTTCTAAGGGAAAGCACTTAGCTAGTTGGGAAACTGAAAGGTCGGAGGCTGGTGGTCCAGTTTTATCTTAAAGAGACAGGTTATCCACTCCTCTCTGACCACCGTGGAAGGCTCTCCACATAGGTGAGCAAGACGTATGTGGCAGGAAGTGCATGAGCTGCTTCCGTTAAGGGAATAGCCTCCAGGGTCCTCTGACTGACTCTAATCAAATTTATTTTTTGAGATAGGGCCTCATAGGGCCCAGCAGGCCTCACACTCACTGTGTTGTGCAGAATGATATTGAATTCTTGATCCTCCTGGCTCTACTTCCCAGATGTGGAGATTGTGTACAAGGACCACTTCATCCAGCTTCTGGTTAAAATGTTGATTATTATGACCATACCAATTCAGGGAATGGAAATTTCACCCTAGTTCTGCCTCCAGAGTCAGTACGCTAACTCTGCTGTAGCAATGACGTAATACAACAGGCACTGACCTAGGCACGAACGGTTACCATCTCATCTCTCTTCCTAGTGTCCAGTGAAGCAGCCCACTTCAGAGATGGGAGCAGTGAGGTCGAGAGGGGGAAGACCTTGTCCAAGGTCTCAGGGACAGCCAGTGGCTGAGCCAGGACTCAGGGCTGTGTGATGCCCGTTATCCCCTGCAGTCTCCCTGTGATCCTACAGCCCTGTCCATAGGCACCGTACATAGAGAGCAGCTGTAACCCAGGTTATCTCGTGAGCTTGATGTCTTTTCACACATGGTGCACACAACTGAGTCCTGTTGAATCTCTCTCTGATCTATCCTTTGTCCTTCCATGGCGGTGGTGGGGCTGGGACCTGTTCTGGGGCTAGGTGGTCAATATTTGTGGAAGGAATAATTGTTTTTCTATCTTCACAAATGTGGCCTAGTAGCTTTATAACAATTAACAATTATCCATTAATTTATGACTTAAGGTATCTGCTTCATATGCAATTGAGAGAATTGGACAGTCACGCTTGGAAACCATGTCCAGTCTTTATCAGTAACAGCAGAAACCCAGCTCCCTAGTAATATCATGTCTATACACTCCAGCCTAATTTTGCTGTTGAAAGAAAAGCTATGCATAGATAGGATGCAGGTTTTGGAATCAGTTTAGTAGGCTGTGAGCAGGACTGCTTCCAGAGACAGCCCAGAAGGAAGTGTCAGCTTGCTCCGCAGGTGGGAGGAGAAGAATTATCTTGTGTTAACTTGTTTGCATTTGATGTAGATAAGACTGGAGAGAGGGCAAGGATCCAGCTGTAGCGTGAAATGTATTTCTAACTCGGTTTCAATGTAAAACATTGAAAGTTGTTGATTTCAATGGCTTGATGTAGGAGGCATGCAAACATCATTAAATCATCAGGCTTTGCCTTACTGACACGGAGACCGAACATTGTTCTGATCACTTGTTCTGCGTGCTCACCTTTCTGGTCCTGCAGCTGGCTAACATATGCAGGGCTGAACGTGTGGGAAGGTCTCAAGAATGTCCCTTTTCTTTGTACAGTTATTGATTGTTGTGTGTGTGTGTGTGTGTGCACGCACACTCGTGGGCACAGGCGGATATGTCAGAGGACAATTTACCAGTCACTTCTCTTCTTCACTGTGTTCAAGGGATTGCACTCATGTCCTCAGAGCTCAGAAAGTGCCCTCACCTGCTGAGCTATCACCTCCATCCGTTTATTTTTTAATTCGTTAATATTCTACTTTAGTTGATTTTAGACTCTGGGAAATGTTTCAAAACTAGTATAGAAAAGTCAGTTGTGGTGGTGCACACCCTTAATCTCAGCATTTGTGAAGCAGAGGCCAGCCTGGTCTACAAATCAAGTTTCTGTTCAGCCAGGGCAAACAAACAAACAAAATAGCGTAGCACTTTTCCATGGTCCCTCTGCCAGATACCCCCTCTTTTGTTTGTTTGTTTTTAAGGCTAGGTCTTAGTACGTAGCTCTGGCTGTCCTGGAACTCACTTTAGGGTTTAATTTTTTTGTCTTTAAATTTTCATTTATTATTTGTGGGGGCAGGGAGGGCTTGCATGCCATGTGTACGTGCATGTGGAGGTCAGAGTACATTTGTGCCGTGGGTTCTCTCTTATTTACGTGTTTCTGGGGATTGAACCCGTTTGTTGCCAGGCCTGTTTGACAAGCACCTTTACCCAATGAGCCATCTGGTCAGCCCAAGATTTAACCAGTTTTTCTCCTGTTTCAAGATCTACTCTAGCCCCACATTGTAAGTCGCTGTGTTCCGCAGTCTCCTCTGGTCTTGGCAGCTCTTTCATCTCCTCTTGTGTGTGATGATGTGACAGCTTTGAGGATTGGTCGGGTGTCTCGAGGACGGTTCTCACGCTCTGTCTGTAGTATTTCTCTCTAGTGGACGGGTGTTATGGGAATATCTGAGGGAATATCACCTAAGTGAAGGCCCTCCTTGTCATACCCTCCCGGAAGAAGGATGTAACATCCATGAGACATCATTGGTAATACTAACTCTAGCCTTGTGTTAAGACAGCAGCTCTGAGGGGCTTTCACTATAAGGGAACTGTTCCATTTTCTATAGCCTGTCATTTGGAGTCATGTCATGAAGCCCTGCTGTGCTTAAGTGGAGCAGGGGTGCGGTGATGGTGATGATGATGGTGATGATGATGATGGTGATGACGATGATGGTGGTGAGGGTGATGGCTATAGCTTGCTGATGAGCAAGGTTATGTGACATGGTCCAGTTAGGAAGCAGACTCCTCGGCCCAACATCTGTACCTAGTGGTCCTTTCTGGAAGCCCTTGATACTTGCACAGAGCTTGTGGTGGTCAAAGCCTGGCTTCCAGGCTTCTAAAGCATGGCTTGCCCTGCTTATTTTCAAATACGGCTGTATCCTAATGCTTGTTTTCATTTTCCCAACTCCTCTGCTTCTCTTCTGACTTCTCCCCTGTCTGTTCTCACCGGCTTGCTCGCTACATCCTTGCTTCCATAGAGGCCCTCCAGGTAAACATTCCCTCCACCCTCCCTGCCTGCTGAGGTGGTACCTCTTCCCCTCTCCAGGACAAGCTCTTACTAGGCCTAGATCCCATCCTCCCGGCTTTCTCCAAGACCACGCCCCTTTCTCACATTTTCAGCTGTCCCCAGCACTGTCCCCTCTTGTACCCAGTTGATTGACCTACATAGGCTCTCTTTGGCCAGGCCTCAACCACCGGCCAGCACAGAATCTCTCTCTTCATTTTGGCCTTCTTGAAATAGTAGGTTTCAGTCTCTCTCTCTCCATTGTCAGCTTGGGCCACTGAGATAACAGGGAGAGATGTTTCACAATGCAGTTTGCCTGCGCAGGCTCCCACGGAGAGCCTCTCTAATAGGGAAATGAAATGTCCATCTCTTGGGAAGGGTCCAAGATGATGAATGAGCGCCCGTAAAGACTGCTCCAGAGGATGAAACAGAGTGCAGAGCCATCAGAGAGAGTTCTCCAGAGAAGCCCCCAGCCTTAGTTGAAGGAGAGGGGTCGAGAAGCAGAGGCTGCTCTCCCCATGCCTCACCTCTGGGAGTAGCTTGGAGAAGGTGGAGGAAAGACAGCAAGTCCCTTCCCAAACCTGGAGTCTGAGCCACCTTTCCTGCCCTCCCTCCCCCAAAGCTGTCTACCCAGAGGACAGCCAATTTAATCACAGAGCATTCAACCTCCAAGATGGTTCTGCCTTCCGCTGACCGAAGCAGCTGGTGTGATTCACCACCCCACGGGCTCAGCCTCACTGCATCTTGCCAAGCTGATGGGGGTGTGGGTGTGCCCTCTCCATCAGTGGAGCAGAAGGGAACTCCCAGCCAGGCCTTGGGGCACTCCTTGGCTCCTTCACTCAGAAACTCTGTCTTCCATACCCCAGTACACAGGAGCTGGCTTCTGTTTGCTATTCCCCATCTGCTGGCTTCTTTCTTGGATCCTATAGTGACACCGTACCCATAGGCACCTTGGCACAGGCCTGGGCTTTGGAAGTTAGCTTGTGTTAGATGGGTTTTCTCGAGGACTGAGTGGCAATTAGTCTTGGCTCTCAGCAGGCTCACCTGTGTGCACAGACCTTGACCAATTCTACGTAGAGGGGGTTGGGTCTATTTGCCTGCATAGTCAACAACTATTTGTGGAAGTCTTTGAATTCCCATGATAGGGAGTGGGGCTACAATGATGGGCAAAATGCCACACTTTCTAAGAGTTTGCAGGTGTGTCTGGAATAATAAACCAATAACTTTACATCGGAGACTACCAACAATGAGTGCAAGGAAGAAAAATGC